GTCACAGACCACAGCAACCTCGAGCTATTAGGCTTAAGCTATTCTCTTGCCTCAGCCTCTCAAGTAGCTGGGACTACAGGCGCCCACCACAACACCCAGCTATTTTTTGTTGTTGTAGTTCTCATTGTTGTTTAGCAGGCCCAGGGGTTTGAACCCTCCAGCCTTAGTGTATGTGGCCAGCTGCCCTAGCCACTGAGCTATAGGCACCAAGCCCTTTTTTTCTTTTTTTGAGACAGAGTCTCACTCTGTCATTCTGGGTAGAGGGTAGAGTGTTGTGGTGCCATAACTCACAACAACCTCAAACTCTTGGCTTGAGCAATTCTCTTGCCTCAGCCTCCCAAGCAGCTGGGGCTACAGGCACCTGCCACGACACCTGGTTAGTTTTTCTTTTTTTGCAGTATTTGACCAGGGCTGCGTTTGAACCTGCCACCTCCAGCATATGGAGCCAGTGCCCTACTCCTTTGAGCCACAGGCGCTGCCTTTTTTTTTTTTTTTGAGACAAGAGTGTCACTATGTCACTGTCGGTAGAGTGTCGTGGAGTCAGAGCTCACAGGAACCTCAAACTCTTGGGCTTAAGCAGTTCTTTACCTCAGCCTCCCAAGTACCTGGGACTACAGGCACCTGCCATGAAGCCTGGCTATTTTTTGTTGCAGTTGTCATTGTAGCTGGCCCAGGCTGGGTTTGAACCCGCCAGCCTTGATGTATGTGGCTGGTGCCATAACCACTGTGCTATGGGCGCCAAGCCTCAAGCAATTTTCTTGCCTCAGCCTCCCAAGTAGCTGGGACTACAGGTGCCTGCCTCTGCTAATTTTAGATCTCACTCTGGCTCAGGCTGGTCTCAGACCTATGAGCTCAGGCAGTCCACCCACCTCAGCCTCCCAAGGATTACAGGTGCGAGCCACTGTGCCTGGCCTTTAGCATTTAGATGTCTAGCTTGTATCTATGTAGAGCCACTTGTCAGCCCTGGGGCAGAACCTCGTGTTCCTGAGCTGGGCGGGGCCAAAAATCTGTGGTTCCTGGATCCCCCAGTCTTCTCTTTCCAAGGCCAATTATCTGTAGTCTGAAAAGGCCTTGCCCAGCTCCACAAAGGCCTCAAACCCTGGGAAGGCAGCAGCAGGTGGAAGGCTGGCAACCTGTTCTACTCCCTCTTGTTCCTAGTTCCTTCAGTCTCCCCAGGTCAGATTAGTCTGGGGGACTGGACAGGAGGTATGAGGGTGGGAGTGACCAAGGCCCTTCACCTGGTGCAGTCCTGTTAGAGTAGAATCTAAGGCACTCCTGGGGCTACCCTGCCAAGTCTGCAGGCAGCTCCATTGCTTCACATTGCAATTTCATCACAGGCCCCAATCACTTCTGTTATTGGGCCCTGCCTTCCAAATGGTCAAATTATGATTACCAAGGCACACCATTTTTGACACTCAGTGCTTCTATTTTAAAAGGGGGAATAAAGCCGCCTGCTCTTATAGCCACATCTCATCCATTCTGGCTGCAGGTCCTCACATTACTAGAAGTGGGTCTGTTGGGTTGAGTGTCTAGTGCTGAGCCCTGTGTGGCAGCTGCAAAGAGCTAATTTTTATAATTTCCTTGTCAGTAGCCTAACTGAAAGCCCACCTAACTCAAAGTTTCTCTACTAGAAGGCCATTATTGAAGATGGGCCCAGCTTAAGTTTGGCTTAGCCCAGGTGGTCATAGAACCAGCCTGCCACAAACACCTGCTGAATGGTGGGGACTTTTTTTTAAATCAGAGACAGAGTCTTTCTTTCTGTTGCCCTTGGTAGAGTGCCATTGTGTCACAGTTCACAGCAACCTCCAGCTCCTGGGCTTAGGCAATTCTCTTGCCTCAGCCTCCCGAATAGCTGGGACTACAGGTGCCTGCCACAATGCCCAGCTTTTTTTTTTTTTTTACAGTTTGGCTGGGGCCGGGCTCAAACCTGCTACCACTGGTATATTTGGGCTGGCACTCTACTCACTGAGCCACAGGCACTGCCCAAATGGTGGGAACTTTCTAATGTGCCTTCATCCTAACGAGCCCTCCTGAGACCAATGAGTAAGCCACAGACCCCATCCATATTGTCCTGGAGGAAACCTAGGCCTAGGGTCAAGGACAATGGAGGCAAAAGATTTTGGTTTTCTCACATCCTGACTTGTCTGTTCTCTCCTGTTGGTTTCAGGCTTTACACAGAGAACAGAGGGAGCTGCTGGCTGTGCTGAGAGAGCCTGAGTGAGGAGATGGCTGGGCCCAGAAGCAGAGGGCAGTCAAGGTCGAGGGCAAGGCCTTTGGTCCAGCACGCTAAGCCTGGGCAAGCAGCCTCCAAGGCAGGAGTCCTCAAACTACAGCCCACGGGCCACATGCAGCTCGCCTAGGACATTTATTCGGCCTGCCGGGTGTTTTTGCTGCCGCTGCCTGTCCTGCTTAGCAGCTGACTCATCCCAGGGCCCGCATTCCAGCCCTCCAACAGTCTGAGGGACAATGAACTGGCCCCGTTTAAAAAGTTTTGAGGACCCCTGCTCTGAGGATAGGTGAAACAGCGCCCAGTCCTTGAGCAGTAATAGCATTTTGCAGAGGACCAGGCTATAGCAAGCTCCACTGCCACTGTGCCTTTGGGGCTCCCTTGGGGTTGATCTCACTCCACCCCCACCTCTTGATTCCCCCTGATTCTAATAACTGTAGGATTCTTGGCCCAGCTCCCACCCTGGGAGTCAAGCACTCTGCTTTCTTTCCTTTTGGTTTGGATCAGTTCTGCTACCCCATCCTGCTTGAATCTGTTTTCAATCTGCACTGATTGCCCCCTTGCTGGCCAGCCCAAGGGCTGGTACCATATTCTCCCCACATCCGTAAATAAACTTCCTCCCTTACACTGTAATCTGTGAGGTACTTCCGCTCCTGGGCCATTCTGGGGCCAAGACCCGCTGCCAGGCTTCCAAGCGCTGGCTTCAGTCAGGGCTTACAGGAGGTGGGGGATGGGGTGGGCACGAACTGTGTTTGACCATCATGTGCAGAGGGCAGCAGAACCCCCCAGTACAGAAACAGGACCTCTGAATTCCTTGTGCTTAGGATGAGCTGCCAAGGTGGTGTCCCTCTATCCGGTCCAATCCACATGGCTGTGCCCATTTGGCATGTTTCTGAGAAAGTGCCCATGGTGGGCTTCACTTGTTTATATATGGCAAGGTAGCCTTCGAGAAGAGCTGCCACTTTGTCCTCTTGCTGCTTCTGCCTCACTGTTCTCTGGCCAGGACAGAGAAGGGTGCAGGATGGGTAGACCAGAGAGGAAAAGGAGCTGGGGACAGATGGGGCAAAACTTTTTTCCATGGTGAGAGCCTCACCCTAACTCCTCGGGGAGAGGTTTGGTTGGTTCTGACTGAGGTACTAGGGACAGACAGGAAGACATTGGTGGCCCCTGCTTGTCATCCCTTTCCTCACAAACAGTACAGTCTCTGTCCATCTCTTCACTATGAACTGCAAAGTTCAGGCATCCAGATGCGGCCCTCATGCCCAGCCCCTTGAGTGCTTTGTGTATTTGTCAGAGGGACCCACAGTCTCAAGCTCTGGTGGGCAGGTGGCTATGTGAGGACACAAATCAGACAGGGAAAGGTGCCAGGACAACCTCCCTTCCTTCTCCAGACTGACCTGAGGTGTTGTTGGCTCTTATGTGCAGGGCAGGTTTTTTCAGTCTGAGATGTTCTGTCACATAAATGATAGGCCTTCCTGTCATGGGACCACTAGGGGAGGACAGGTTACTGTAAGGACAAGAGGTCCTGAGGTCTGTCAGGATCCTAAAGGTCTGTTCTACCCTCCTGCCCTCATAGGCCTTGCCTCTCTGCCCCAGTGCCGTGCCTCCCTGGCCTGTGCCCTGCATACCTGGCAGTCATAGCCACCTGGCCTGCCCCAGAGATGGAGACATTGTCCTTACCTCACCCCTAGTTTCATCTTTTGCTTCATGGCCCTGTGCTGCCCTTTCACTGTCTTGATGTACAGGGCCTTAGCAGTTAGCTGCCCCCACACTGGCTGCCTCTGGTGTCTGGCTGGGTGAATGAGGGCACTGCGAGGCACTCCCTCCCTGGGGCGTGGCTCCTGCCCATCAGACTGACAGTAGAAATCATAGTCTGGGAGAGAGCTAGAGCCAAGTTCTGCTCAAATCTATTTTAGACACTGAGTCCTACTTTCTCTCTAGGCTTCCTCTAGAGCCCACTAGTACCCAGCCAGGCGGGGGTCTCCAAGAAAGAGTGAGTCAGGGTGGGGAGGCCCTAGGGAGGGGCTGGGGCAATGTCAAGAGCTGGGCAGTGTCCAACAGGGGCCTATCTCAGGGCCCCTACCCAGGCAGC